ACTAAGTCCTAGCATCGTGGACACAGGCCTTAACGAGCGCATTTTACTGTTCGCTCCTCGCTCGATCCTTCAGCACTACCATTTCTTGTTAGACTTCTGAACTTAATTTCAATGATACCACGCCGCTCTCTGATTTAATCCAATTAGTGGAAACTGGTCGGTCTGTACACAAGAGCCACATAATTTGTATACTTACTACACAAATGTTTTCATGGATCGGCAGTTCTAGGAGTAAAAGCCTAGGTGCATAAAGGTGCAAAAAGTGCAGAATCACTCCAGCATCCCCTTCTCAAGACAAAGCGTACGGCAATTAATTCTCAAAACAGCGTAAAACGATTCCTAAAATCGCGGTCGTTCCGTATTTCTAAACTCAAAATCCGCCACTGACGATTCATCCTGAAATCAATATTCCGGTCGATGGACGACAATGCGATCGCGATAACTAACGTGAAATATGAATGGGCAATGTCGCGATCGTTGCTCGCAGCTATTGCAGGCAGTTGGCGAAAAATGGCGACGCGCCGCTGAAACGCCATATGAAATGTCCAGCGACGCTACGATCGCACGGAGCGCGGCTGACAAAACTGTCGCATTTCGCGCTACGAAAACGATACGCATACCTTATTGAGAGGTGGATTTTCTGTTCGAATGCACGCCTGCAGCCTCGGGGCCGAGCAGAGTCACGTCGGAGGGTCACCAAGAGCCCAGAATCCGTTGCCTCGGCGCAGAAATCCAGTCGCGATCAATCCGATCCACTCCGGGCGCCCGAGAGTCAATCCGACGTCCGGCGGCGGTCGTGCACGACGTCGAATAGCATCCTCGCGAGCGTCCGACACCTCGCGACACGTTCTCGCGTGCGAAACTCACTTTCACGAGGACGAGAAGCGCGAAATGACTCGAGCCCGTGTGCCGTCAACCGCCGCGTGAAGTGCGCGTCCCGCGTGAAGTGCGCTGACCGCCATTTGAGATCTATCGATTCTCGAAGTATCGAGGTTCCTGAAGAGGGCGCTAGTGTACGGCGATACGCTGCGAGGCCTTTCGAGAATGAGTTTTCGCCTACGTCGACGTTAATATTATATCTCGTCAGTGCCGAGGCGCTTGTTTATCCTTAATCTCTCATATGCATGACATTTCGCCGCCCATTGACGCTACTATCACACGTAAGCCAACGAGCTCCTTCGTTTTCCGTTGTCCTGCCTCCGGTGCGCAGGTTAGGTTAAGCTCGACGTGCATTAATTCGCTCCGGGTCGTGTTGTGCAAAAAGCATCTGTTTGAATAATCAAGTAATTTTTGTCCATCCCCAATTGTTACCCGAACCGAATTAATGCACCGTACTTTACGGCCCCGGCCAGAAAGGTTGTCCGGCGTTTTACGACAAGTTTTCGGAATATTCGTACGTGGCATTGCATATTCGTACACATTCCTTCGCTCTAATATTGCGTCGCTGCACACATTCGTGAGCAAGAGCCGTAATCTCTCATGTGACAGACTGTTTCCGAAATTTCTCATAAAACGTCGGACAACCTTCCTGACCGCGACAGTACACGCTCTTATTCTACGTCGTTCTTCCTTCGTTGCCTATTTCTCCCCTAATTTTACGTCAGCGCGTCGAGTAAATCAATCCGTGTCTTGCTTGTAGAAAATGTTGGCGTTGGAGCGTATATCTGATCAAACCGGATACTTGGTGCTGACCGAGGACGGCGCCGTGTTAACGGTAAGTGGCAGCTCTCGATCGACGATCCTTTCCCTCGTAGCGGCAATTGGAATCCTCCGCGTCTGTGTTGCAGTCCGGAGGCGACTTGGAGAACGATGAGCGAGTGGCGAACATTATCAGTAGCCTGGTCACCCTGACGAATAAGGTCGACGCCAAGGCGTTTCCCTCGCACGATCCCTTCGAAAAGATATCGATCAAGTATAAGGACCACTGCTACGTCGTGTGCCTCTCGAATAAGAAGATTCACGTGGTGAAGAGGAAGCTGCCGTCCCCGACGACGGCGATCGTCGAGCAGCAGCCTACCGCCGACATTTAGATACGAGTAAAGAGAGAAGACGTCGCAAAACAAATCTATTCTTTGTAAGCTTTGATATCTGACTCGAGTTCAATTTCTTCGATCATTGCGAGAGATTTCTATTCACTGTTATGTATATACGTGTACCTAGAGAAATATATGTATTCTAAGATTGAAGCTAGTGCAATGTAGTTTTAGGAAGAGTTACATGCCTCTTGTATGGACGGCTTCTTTCGATCTGTCGAGCAAAGTATTCTTCCGGTATGTAACTTGAGAATTATAGCTACGATTATTCTTGAAATATATTTTTTATCAAAATACTTTTGTAAGCTGCATCTTACTCCTAATATTGATGCGTCTGGTGAGAATCGGAGGATTACTTGCGTGTCTTATTTACAAATATATTATATATAGTACATATCGCTTCAAAGTAGGTACATGAGGTGCTAAGTGTCACTATCGGTACTGGAACTGTCGTAATTGACCAGAGATGCGCCCGAGTTACCAGCTTTCGAGGTGGTAGCATTACCCGCTACTTCTTGTACCTTCGGCGACTCCTGGCTCTGTAGTTTCAATCGGTCATTCGAGGAGGACGCTTTCTTCCTGTTTTTAGATCGCACGATCGAAACTAGCCGTTTCAATTCCGCGCCTTCTTTTTTCCTGGCGCCTGAAAAGGAAGACGCTCGTGAAAAACACAAGTTTAATAGAAAATGTACACTCCGGTTCAGTTGAGTGTCGAATAAACACCTTTCTTGTGAGTGAGTAACCTGGCCAGTTTGATGTCATCCTCGTGCTCGTTCACCAGGTCGATGTCGAGCCCAGCCTTCTTTAGTAACGCATGATCTCCAGCCTGCCTCTTCTTGAGCTCCTTCTTTCTCTCCTGCAACACAACAAGCCAGTCAGTAGAAATTCGAGTTGATTCTTAACGCGAGACTTAAATATATCTCTCGAAAACACGGTGGAAATAAATTGTAAAAATAATGGCCGTACCCGAAATAAGGCTCTCACTGCGCAGTTCGAGCTGTAATCGTCTTTCCAGATACTCTCGTTCAACGCTATCGCACCTTCCAGCGCAGAGTCCCGAGACTTGGCCACTTTCTTATCTTCCATGCCATGCTCCAACTTGTACATGGCATCGTCATACAGTCTACACGATACCTCCTTCGTTTCAGGCACCACCTGTTCATTCTGCTTAGGGTCCCATCGATTTTCCTGACGCCTCGCACCGCTCACTATGACGTAATCCAGATTCTAGAAAAAGCAGATGGACAATGTTAACAAGTGTCGCGGGAACGGCGTCCGATACGTTCGCATTGTTCATCAGGACTCACAGCGGGATCGGTTTTTATCTCAAAGTGATTGTCGCAGAGATGACACTTCATGCGGAATTGATAGAGCGGCGTGCTGTAGTACATCCCGATCTTCTTCTTCTCCGCGTTATACCTGACGCCCATGCCGATGTGATTCCCGCATCCGTCGCACCATATATTGTAGGGCATCTCGAATCGTATGATCAGGATGCCCATGTGGATCTTGCGGGCACGCTCGCGCAACGCGTGAGTGCCCAGGAACTTGTTGAGGCCACCGGCACGGGGATCATAGTCCGGTGGATAGTACAAATTCGTTCCCTTCCGTTCTCCCATCGCGCTACAATTTATTCGCACATCAAAACAATTGGAAACATTCAGCAAACCTCAAATTACAACCGATTACACGCGTTATATAGGGTGACCAACTCTTAAACATTTAATTTCGGGACATCAGTTTCCGAAAATCGGGACTTTTTGTACATCAGATTACCTTGTAATATGCATGTACATGTCCCTTCTTGTTTATTTTACATATATGATATATCTTGACATATTATCTTTTTTAAATAGGTATGTTGAATAAATTAGATACACGTAGATAAGGCAAATGTTTCTTCATTATCAAGTCAACATCGAACATTCGACAGAACATAGTCTTTTACTATTTTTGAAATATAAATAATCATTAATCTAAATTAGACTAATAAAATTCTTAAAATAAAATGAAAGAACAATCATCAACGGAACATAAAAGCAGGAACATAAAATATAAAGGTTATAATGAATTTTAGTTAATGAATATATGACGTATTATTATATTTTATATTATTTATCTTATATTATGTAAAAAATCGAGACAAATGGTGTCCCGCCTAAGGTTCTCTCGGGACAGCTCCAAAGAGAGTCGAAAATCGGGATGTCCCGAAAAATTCGGGACGGTTGGTCACCCTAGCGTTATAACTGTCGATCCAAAAATTCCTTTTCACCACAGTTCGTACGCTATACCGGTTATCGTTACAAGCTGTCACTGTACCTTGATTCCTTTTCAAGACTTGAAAGAAAAAATGGAGCAACTTGCTCCTGAAATGATGTATTTGACGAACTGTGTCGACTCAGTGACGTTGACTTTGACGTTCGTTCAGTAGATTGGAGACGGAATATAATATAGCAGACAGCGCGATCTGAAACGTTTCCTTCAACTAACTCGTGTATTATTGCATGGTACATAACTTGGAAGCGAGTAAAATTGGCATTTGTGTATCGGCCGATAGCGCATTGTAGCGAGTAACTCTGATCAACCAGAGATGACGCTAGCAGTATCCTTTTTTTTTATCAAGTAGAAACCGCCAACGCCCCTCACAATCAAACAGTGGAAGACACCACCCTCCAGTATAGAACAAGTCAACTCTTCTTTAGTGAAGTCCTCTATCATGAGATAGAATTCTAATACGAGATAGCAGGTTTTCAACGTTCAAATTCAAGCACGAATCTTTTTTCGCAACGATTACGCGAACTAACAATCAATTTTCCCTTAAACAGATTTTACTCCAAGGGCAATAATTTCATGACGGCTATTAATTTAGCAGAAACTCCGCTGTCTTGTATTAGGAGCCTATCTCATAATCACAAAATCTGCGCTTATTTGTTATAATAGAAAATTCAAATGAAATGTGCGCGCTGCGAAATTTTCGCACGAAAGTGTATATCTTTGTAGCTTTAGTAATTTTGACGAATAATTAGTTTTAAATATGTATTTGTATAAATAAAATCGTGGCCATCTACGCAAACACGTTACGCCATTTATATATAAACAGTAATTTTAATATAAAAGAGCGCTTTTACATTTATTTATTTAAAGAAATTAACATGTACATAAAGATATTAACAGTAAGACCATTTTTTTTTCATGGCTGTAAGTCTCCTAATTTTGGGCTCCATCATTCTGGTGTCCCTTCAAGACTTACGTATTCGGGTTCGCCACGGTTGCAGATGGCGACCGGATGGAATGGAACTAGCCCATACAGCACATATGTATATGTTGCTGAAATGTTGCAATATTGAATGTTGAAGTATAAATATCTTGTCTAAGTTGAATCTAAGTTAATGTTTGTACATTGATTCTTTATGTTGCTGCAACGTAAAACAATCTTGAACAAATTATTATTTTTTGATACTCAAACAGATACTTAAAAAATGTATAATTATGAAATGTATGTATATATATGTTTTTGCAACAGTGAGAAATTTTCTGAGCTAAGATTGCATTATTGTTTTAGCAAATATTTGTTTTAATATTGCAATGTTGTAATGAAACGTTTCTAAGATGTTGATCCATTACAGCATTGCAATGTTGCATCAACGTTGAAAAAATATTGTAAAAACGTCTAATGTCCGCTGAATTGTAATGTCTTGTAAATGTTACAATTGAACGTTCAGAAAACATTGTTGTTGTATGGGCATACGGCACACAAATGTTGAATTAACATCTCAGAAACGTTCCATTACAACATTGCAATATTGCATCAATGTTACGAAATGTAGATTCAACGTTGAAAAGATATTGCAAGAACGTCTAATGTCCGCTAAATTGTACTGTCTTGTAAACGTTACAATTGAACATTCAAAAAACATTGTTAAATTATATTGAGTTGATATTGGTCGCGTTTAGCAGAATATTTTTTACAACTGTTGGAAGTACTGAAATTGGATTATTCCTCTAAAACAATAATCCAATCTTAGCTCAGAAAATTTCTGACCGTTGCAAAAATATTAATTACATTTTTTAAATATCTATTTGAGTATCAAAAAATAATAATTTGTTCAAGATTGTTTTAACGTTGCAGCAACATAAAGAATCAATATATAAACAGTAACCTAGATTCAACTTAGAAAAGATATACTTCAACATTCAACATTGCAACGTTTCTGCAACATTATTTTAATTTTCTGTGCTGTATGGGATGGGTAGGAGAGTCTTTATCACAAATTAAATAATTACATAATATCAACGATTTTGTTATATGCTAATATTGAAGATGCTGTGTCATTAGTGTCTGGGTCCTGGCCTTCCGGTTTGCCCGCAGAATCCGCGCAATCGTTTCTGTCGACAGACCGAGACACATGTATTTACGGAGCGTCTCAAAAGGTAGCTTTTAATCTCCGCTTCGTTCAATAGAAGTCTTTCGAGGCGCGCGGTATAACAGCACGACACACTTCGGTGTCGTGAACTCTGTATGTCTCAATGGTACACGAATCCCCCGTTGGATGTGAGCGTTCCTTTGTGTGCTGGCTCGGAAATGTATCCCGCAGATCCGCTTTCGCCGATTCCCTTCCCTCGCCTTCCGTGTAAGCGCCGGTGACGAAAGTTCTTATCGTCCATAAGGATACAACCACTTGTACCTGTATCTGGCGGGACGTGGATAATACGCGAACGCGTAGACCACTGCAACAGAGAGCACGGCTGCATGCAACAAAGTGCACAGTGACACACTTTTTCTTATTAACACGTGACAGATATATTGATCTATCACGAAATTTTCGCCCTGGGGAATATGCACTAATTCTTTTTATTCGAGTAAAACAGCTAATTCTTTCCCTAGTAGCACAATATATTGACGCAATATTGGGAAATAATGGAAATCTAGTATTCCCAATATTGGTCCAATATTGTCAAATAGACGCCTTCTCTTATTCAGCCAGTATGTTTATTTACACGAAGAGACCAATGTGGTTACCACATGTATAATTAGGGTTGGCATAATCCCAATAAATATAGTAATCTTTGGTACGGCTATATCTGTGGTTGTCATACCCACATTGGTATGATAAGTAGTGGAGACAATTATATGCGTTTTGTGCAGCAAACTAGTGAAAGTTGCAACACAAAAAATGTAATTGCCCCTACTATTTGTACGGCATTTTAGTTGTTTTTTCCTTAGCCGGTCTTTCCGTGTAGCAAATACTGGCCAATGCACTTTCAATATAAGTCTAATATTATATAATTATTATCGTGCAATATTTACATTGATTCCATGGCCAATATTGGCTTTACGTTGAACAATGTCAGTCAATGCATTTCTAATATAACCAACATTGGACCAATGTTTAGTCAATGAACTGTGCTACTAGGGTCAAGTCTAAGTCTGCAAATGTCCTTTCAAAGCAACTTTTGGTTTTTTGATATAATCGCGAGTATTTGCGATGATTCGGAGAAAGCCTGTGACAATATTTATCCTACTTGCCTATCTTTCTGTGAAAATACACGCTTGATACACCGCATTATTTATTATCGCCTATATAATAATAATATAAAAGGAAAGTATATATTTAATTTTATTACACATCTTCGGGACTGAAAGATACGCCGGTCTGCGCACTTTTCGTTCTAATATTTGGGAGATGGAAACAGTCACCGACAAACATTTGCCGCATCCGACAAACGTTGCGAGAAACTTTTGTAAAGGGATTGTTCACCCGCCTATCATATTCATCGCCGACTTGCCGTTACTTGCCTCGACCTTATAGCCGATGGAGCCTCGTGTTCTGCAACGACATGTATCGCGCGAGTTGTTTGGCGAACGCCCGCCTCTCTCGGACGTTCCTTTTACGGAAATGATCCAGCGTGCCGAAGGCCGAGGTCGGTACCAGCGATCCTTGGCCCTGCCAATAGTAAGCAGACGGCATCGGGCTCAAAAGCGGTACCCTCAACGGGCCGCCCAAGCTGCCGTGAAGGTAGTTGCTGCCGTGAAGGTAGTTGGCGAACTGAGGCTGCCCGTGAAAGTCCACGTTCGGCTGCAGCTTGGGCAGACCGAGGACACCCGAATCGCCCAGGAGGGACACCTTCAACGGCGCGATCTGCGGCTCGGTGTCCACGGTCAGACTCGCGTATACCGACGTACCGCCGTCGTCGTGTGGCAGCTTGGGCGGGTCCAGCGGAGAATTATGCGGACCCGGATATTGAATCTGCGGCGGGTATCCCACGTTCGGCTGGATCGGTAGATTTGGGTCCACGCCCAGGTTCGAGAACTGATGATGCGACGTGACCTGCGGCAGTTCGGCCTGCTGGTACGCGCCGTGATCTTGAACGGCAGGATAATTCTGCTCGTAGTTATATGTAGGATTGCCGTGGTTCGCGGGGTAGTGACCCGGTACACCATAGGTCGGGTGCTGAGCTGGAGGATAAGGGTCCGCGTTGTTGTCACTGTTGCTGTGACTGTCCTGGCCAGCTATGGTTTGATCCTTCAAACCGACGCTACCTTTCGGCACGCTGTTCAAGAGACTCTTGATGACGGAGCTCTGGGTCGGTTCGCCGAAACTCTCTGCCAGCTTGGCCGGTTCCGGTTTCTCCTGCACCGCCGCGTTCGTATGCTGATCGCTGTGCTTGTCCAGGTCAGATTTCGTCGATGTCACGATCAGCAGGCCGCCCTGACCATGGTCTGTGAACGTGACGTCTGTCAGTCTCGTCGACAAGTTAGTTCGGTGCTTTAAAGTATTAAGTAGAAGTTCGTTAGTCGAGTTGGAGTATGAAAGCAGGTACGGTCGAGATCGATTAGCACGTTTGTTGCGTATGTGCCGTGGGTACATTGTAACGTGTGTCCGTCGAGCGAGTGCCAAGTGTGAACAATGTGACAAGTTTCCAGTTCTAGATTCGCACGGATTCGATACACGGGTGGTACACTTACACATACTTGCAGGGAACTATCGCAGGGTTTGCTACAGTACGGAGCAGTGCGTTTGTGTCGCGCTAAATTCTAGAGAGGTGAATTTTGCTTGTGTTACAGTGACAACGTGGGGCAATCTCTTTATTTTTCGATTACAGAGTATCCCAAGTATCGCTTTGCCAAGCGATACGCTGATGACTTCGATATATTTTAGCGCGTTTACGTATAGACACGCGTACCATACATATGAAAGAAATTGAAAAAGTATGTCAGGAAACAGGCTTCACCGTAACTACTACCTCTCGCCAACTTTCGGGGAAAGTGAAAGGTCGCGTGCTGATACATTCATGGGGAAACATTCGTGAATCGTGAAACGAGGCAACATTCTTCCGGGAGAAGAACGTTGGCATTCACTGTATCGTTTGGCGACGGTGACGTGCGATGCGGAAAGGGAAATTCGGGCGTCATCGAGCGAGTCACATTAACGTGTTCCAGGAGAGGATCGAAAGCGCCGGCATACGAGATATTATAATTGTCAGATCACATCGACATTTGGCAGCAGAATTTATTCGTGAAAGCGATATTCGCGAGGTAATCGAATGCATTATGCTCCGAGTAAATTAAGAGACGTAACATCTTTCGCAGCTTATTAGTTTCGAAATTTCAAGAGAAACTTTTTAAAATGGCAAATTAATAAAATTCGTATGGCTCAAACGCGATAAATACAAATTTGAAGGAATAAAGGACTAATAGTCGTGGCAGGGTGTTAGTGTCTAAATATTTTATTCTAAATATTGCGAAATAAATTTAGAATAAAATATTGAGACACTAACACCCTGTCACGGCTATTAGTCCTTTCTTCCTTCAAATTAGTTTTTAAAATGACTTTTCTTCTTCTCCGTATCGAAGCTGTTCACTTTCTTCAAACAAATGGTGAACGCAACGTCGGAAATATTAGATGAAAGCAGTTACACTCGTCAAGTTCTCATCAACGCATAATAATGACTCTGAGTTAATTACTGGTATTCTTGGAAAGGCGCGAAGATGCAAGAGCAGAATATAAACCAAGGAACTTTGCAATCCTACAATTACGTATGGAAACGTGAAACCTACCGTCTGACGGCACGTAGGTTTCGTGTCCAGAGATGTCCGCGGGCACTTCGGAAAAATCGTCGGAGCCTGGTGGCCCTGGATAGCTGTGATCGTGACCTGCAATTTCGAAGGAAAGCAGTTGACAAAACGCTATCATGTACGAGATGAACCGGAGATCTTCTAATGCGATCGATCCAATAATTACAGATCAAGATACGTCATAAACGTCATACAATCAACAGTAATAGCAGCGCGCGCGCGCTAAAGAACTTTATCCTGCGACGCCAATCTATTTCATATCTCTTTAATCGATTATAACATTCGATTGTTATCATAAACGGACTCGAGAAAAGCGAATAATACTCAGTTAGGTCTCGAACGCGCGATTACCGTGAATATCCGGCTGCACGGATAATCAATCGGCTCATAAATACTAAAATGGCTTTCCAGAGGCACCTATTTCTCGATGCAAAATTGCACCTTCGATTTCCACGTCTAATCGGTTGAATACGGCGTACACAGGTGAGCGTACAATAGAAAGCAAATGCGTCAAGTTTTTAGAACTATTATGCGCCACGTTTGTTAGTTGCGCGTGTATGCGGCTCAGTTTTTTAATAGCTTTCTACACTGAGAGACCCATTTCGATGAATGAAACGAAATAATTCGATTGAATCACTTTGTTGACTGAACATGTAATTTGATTGTATAAAACGAAAAATATGTTGCTAAAACGAAGTTAAATGTAACAACTAAAAATTTTGTTTCCTTGAGTTGTCAATTTGAACAAAATTTTATGGTTGAGATAACAAATTCGTCCATCTCATCACGTCCTAAATAATTGTGCTTGTTGCGCGAACTAAATCGTTTAGTTGAATGTTATAAAAGGATTCTGCGCATGTTCGACCAAATTTGTGTGTTGATATAACCAAATTTTCCAACTAAACTTTGTTTCACTCAACAAAATTGGTCCTCTCAGTGTAATCGATCCTTCGCACCGAAAAACTGGACAAATTCTGTTCGGTGGAGATTGGATTTTACCTATATGCTGAGTCGGCGGATAGGGCGGATAATCATAATAAGGTTCCGGTGGATAAGGCTTCGCTGCAGCACTGGCTGCCAGTTGTTTACCGTAGGATGTGATAACATCCCCTGCTTTACTGACAACTTTGCCTTTGCCCGCTAGCAGATAGCCACTTCCCTTGACTAATTGACCCTTGAGAGCCAACACGCCGCCACCTATTGCCTTGAGAGCTTGGAACAACGTGCCGAAAATCGCCTTTTTGAAGTCCCACGGGCCGAACGGCTTCTCTTCGTACTGAAGAAATAACGAGATCGATGTCAAGTTAAATTACATTGTAGTTTATTGCGTAACGAAATAAATGTAAACTCTCGAGTAGCGGAAGTGGTGTATCTTCTTCATCTCTTCCCACCGACATCCTTCGTCTACTCATTTTCTAATTAACGTCGTACTAAATTGCTCGTTACTCAGCATAATAGCCTGTTTAACGGGCGATGCCGCGCGATTTTCACTTCGCGGCGTCATTTACTTTAATTGCTGCGCGGAATGTATCCAACGAGAAAAATCCTGACGATGATCATAAAGCGATTAAGAGTGCAGATAATGAAAAGAGCAAATAGTGGAAGAAGAACCAGTTAGTGTCGCTCCTTTGCGGCAATGTGGACGACCTACATACATCACGTTTTCAGCGTAAACAACCACTTTTCCTTTTTGCAAATACAAAGCATTTTATTTAATCAGTTTCTCCCTTTTTAAATTCGATGTAAAAATTTAATTTTCCCTGTACATAAATCCTTTGTAACGTTCCTATTATTATTCGCATTAAAATTCAAGTAAATTCAAACGCAAGGTACACGACATTAAAACCCGCCGCGAATAAAAGTGTGGATTACCGAAGTGTACGCATGTTCCACTGTAGGTGCGCCGTACACCGGTTTATACACCGATTCGCTGCTGCCAGCTGATGCTTTCGCTGCGGAACCACTTGACGCACTCACGACTCCATTTAACACTCCGCCTGCTATGCTGGTTAGAAGACTGGCGGATCCAACGTCGAAGCCCCTCTTTATCCTGTCCTGCATCAGCGCGGCGTATCGCGGGTCGGCGATAACGCCGATAGTTATCAGCTTTTTGTCGTCAATCCGCTTCGTCGCGTCCGGCTCCGTTTGTTCCGGCAGGGTCTCGGACATCTCCCAAGATACATTCTGATTCGCATCGCTTCCGTCTAACTGCTTCGTCCCGTCCAACTGATTCTGATCCACGGAAGACTTCCATGTCTCCAGCAAACCCGCGAGTTCGGATTCCCGATCTTCCGCGGTTCTTCGATACGGTGTTAATCGCTCCAGCTGTTCCGCCGCCCTCCTCAGCAGCATCTCCTGATCGTTCTCCACAGTTTCTGATCGAGCCACGATCATCGAGCACCATGTTACCATCAAGAACTCCGCCAGCTGAAACGCACGATGCAACCGACAAATGCGGGAAATTATAATCGATCCATTCGATCAATTCTTCGGAGATCGGGCAATTTTTTGTTGTACTAAACGCGAGGAAGAATTGTTAAAGAAATTCGTCATTTTCTACAAGTCTTTTTATTGTCATTGTGATAAAGTACGGCGATATCAGTAGTACCGATCGAGCCCGTTGAGTTTACAAACCATAATGCCGTGGGGTTTAGGGAAGTCTTTCTAATTCGTTAAGCGTCGTTAACTTTTTATCACAATGCATTTTGAGGGTCGAGTGTTGATTTCCGAATTGCTCGAGCGTGAAGCGCATCGACGCGAACGTAGCAAGTAGAGCGATGCTGGGTGAAAGTCACGCGACTACCGGCAATTCGAGAAGCCGTGCGCTCAACACGCGGATCGCCATACATGACTTGAGGCAAAAACGGCTATCTCGCAAATACTGATGATTTCACACAGATACTGCGAGACAACTACAACTAAATTACTGCTAATTAGCGATAAGACCGAGGTTGCGCAATCTGCTTCTCTCTGCGGCACAATCTTCTCCCTTCCGGGTTTTAATGTCGCGGACGTTAATCTGTCCGGGCCAAACAGAACGAAAACGAAAGAACAATTTCGAATTGCGAGACGGATACGAAGAACAATAGAAGTGACGCAAACGAAATTGAATATTCTGCTGATTCGTCCCACTTGAACGAGCGAGAGTGAGTGATCGCCGTAACCTTGATCTTGCATGCGTAGAGTCATCGACTGGCCTAGTTTGCCGTTGCTGTGCGTATTCCCGGCGATTTCTAAAAAAATCGGCATACAGCAAATGGTCGTTGATAAACATTTCTGACTTCCGTACTGAGGATAAAAATCGAAACTTCCGAACGAGAGCTATTCTTATAAAATGGAGAGAAAAATAAGACAATTTCCTCCGATGCAAAGTGTTTCGTAGCCACGTGTGAGTTTTTTGTCACTTGCTCGGATTATATCATTCACTTGTCAACTTTTTCAACTTCCGTCCCCTATCGAACACGTATGATGGCTGGAAAGTGATCTAATTAGAAAATAAATCATAGAGGAAGATTTGAAAGCAGCGTAAAGTGCGAAAACTAAACTTTCCAGTACTTTCGCAATTCATAAATTTCTAAGGCATTTCCGAGGGGCATGAAACAAAATACCGTGGGAAATTTAGATCTTTCTCTTCGCAAATAAAGGCTTGGAGTTAGAAAGATTAGCACACACAGGATGAGATGTTCAGGTTTGTTTAACGAACAATCAGGGAGAAATCAGATAGATGGAACGTAAGCAAAGATACACATATGCAATGTGCCTAGGATCAACACTGCGAATTATAATAAACAGAATAACTTGCGTAAAATTAGCATGGAGCTTGCAATTTTGTGGAAAGTAAACAAAATACGTGAACAAAAATGCGTTAATGCCGCAGTGATTATTCCTTCACGGCTTGCACAGCTCTCGTAGCCGAAGGCTCCCAAGCTATTCCGCGTAATTTTCTTCATTGTTGCAAGTGTGAAACTCGCGACGACGTGTATACCGAAGAAAGGTTACGGTCAGACTTCATAGAACTTTCACGTGGATGAGAAGCAAGGTGCCTCGCTCTCGCGTGGCACAAAAACCGCGGCTGATAACAAAGAATTAATGGTTGAGGAAGAAGATAAAGCGCAAAATCTCATTAATAATTCAAAGGAGATTGTAGAACTTTTCACTTGCTTGCTGCAAGATTTACTGTTGTGAGAAGAGTGAATAGCGCGAGTTAATATTAAAAATCGCAAATGCGAATGTTTCTTAATTATTAAATATTAATAAACACTTCACACGTATCCACAAATTAAGATGAACGAAACGCATGAGAACGTAAAGCGCGTACCTTCATATTTGACTTTCACGTATAACGGTGTACCGGTGAAATGATCACAGCACTCTCACTAAACTCACTGACTATCGCTACGGAATATATCCTCTCTTTATACCGACTCCCACTTTGCCGATGATCAAGAAAGTGACATCCACCTTGTCGGGTTGCGTCGGCCAAAATTCGCGCGAGGTTACGTTGCGGCAACGCGCGGAATTGCTTTACGAATGCTAATTAAGTAAAATTTTATCGTATGTATAATCGATTAAATAAGTAATTAGAGAAAAGAATTCTGATACGTAATTTCGATGTTTCGGTTTTGAAACAATATCTTTTATATTTCCAATTAAAATTTTTATATTGAATGGTAAAATTGTTTACATAACGCTGTTATATAAAAACATATTACGGCGGGAGAATTTTGCGTTGCAAATTTTTTACTGGCTCGTTGAGCCAATGTAGTGTCTCGTTAAAATCTGCGATTTCTGTGTTATCATAGTTCTAGAATTTTTAAGTGTTAATATTTTAAACCATTGTAGAAAAATTGCTAAACGACGCTAACTGGCAAATTCTAATTAAAGCAATTTATTGCGAAAAATATTACCTCAGCCAGGGTTTGAACTTCCCTACACTCTAGGTGGGCGTCTCACCAATTCGACCACTGAGTCTAGTCAAAAAATAAGTCGTTTAGCAATTTTTCTAAACTGGTTAATCATGTACTGGCGTCACATAATTATTTACGTGAATATTTTTAATAAGTATGATTAAGCAGCAATGATAAATAAATTCATGTATAACGCTCTGGACGCGACAATACGTTTTAAGAATATATCGTAAGGCACAACAAAGCAAAACGGAAGTCATTAAGCTTTGCATCGTGTCGCACTATCGAGTGTTACATCGTGGAATCGTTCATTTGCTTTCCTCGATTTCCATCGCGTTAACTTAAGCCTGTCACGAATGCAGATCGAAATTCGCGACACTGAATACAATTACGCGTTGGATGCACACTGCGATGTAGAAAGGCGGAAAAGGT